AAAGGCTTCAGAACAAGGCAGCCACAGCAGTTCGCCACAATCCGTAGCACCTTATTCATGCAAGGAAGGCTGTATTACGACACCCGATGGCTGCAGTGTTTGCACCAAAGTTGTTTCGGTAGTCGATGAGGCATTTGCATGCAACCTATGTCAACGATGGGCGCATTGCCACTGCGACACCAAAGTCCCCCGACAATACTATAAGCTGATGAAGAGACAACCATGCAAGTGGTTCTGGTACATCTGTCCAGAGTGCAGGAAAATGCCCGCACTGCGCACAGAAAGCCTGAAGGAGATGCTCTCCGCCACGCAAAAGCTACCAGCATCCTCGAATAAAGTAGGGTTAACACCAAAGGATAACACAGAGAGACCTGGAAACAGACCTAGAGCTCCAGCTGTGGCACGCCACCTCGCGTGGGGACCATATTAGGTCAAGTCTCCATACCTCCTACCCGGCCCCAGGGGACGTCAAGCGCATGGCCAAAGACATCGACCGCTGAGGCCTCTACGAAACCCATTCCAAACACCCCACACACCGTGACTGAGAAACAACCAGTGGAATTACTCAAACCCATTGGGAAGTCGAGCGTGCCACCCACAACGAACCCAGGTCACAGGAGGACCAACTCGATCATTTTGTTCAACGTCGATGTATCGACAGACTCATTGTTGGTCGAGAGGGAACGGTTTGACAGCCGAATGTGGACCGACTACTGTCAGATGCTGGGACTCCCTCCCCTCCCTGCAACTTTATGTCGCCTTTCTCGAGGAAGCCGTGCACCCCGAGATAAGCCACCCCCTTACGTGTGTCCCTAAATACTACCAAAGAGGCTGAAGACACACTCCTCCTCTCGCGACAACCGGACGTTGTTAATGCCTGTAAAATTCGGGCCAGGCCTGACAAGCCATGGTCAATAAGAGAGGAGGAGAGAAAGTCAGCGGTTGGAAATCCCAACAGAAACAACACTATAGTTGTACATGGGATTCCAGAATTGCCAAGTGACCGCTCGGTCAAAGATCGGTACTTTCATGACGTCCAACAATGGCAATGGCTCTCAACCAAAGTTGGTCTCAACAGTATACCGGCCAACAGCGTCAGTAGACTGCCAAGGCCAGCGCACCTGAAGACCATACCCAATCCCAGACTACTCGCCGTCCAGTTCGACTCATATGCCTCCCTCACAGACGTTCTACAGGCATGGTATAATGCGAAGGATCGCATGGGTGGCTCAATACGTATATGTGAAAGTAAGCCTAGACCCACAAGGCAAGAGGAGAGACGACAACCACCAAGACCTCTGGAGTCAGTGGTCGTCACACAGGCGCTGACCAGTGAGTTAGATACATCAAGTAAAGAAGCCACCACTGCCACAGCCCCCACCCAAGTTAAAAACAAAACACCAAAAAACGGAACAATGCCAGTCCTATGAGGACTGGCGAGGGTAGACCCAACCACATAAGCTCCATCCTGCGAAAATACACAACCAGACCTCCCCCTCACCAGGCACACTCTAATATGTATGTACAGCAACGTTAGGGGGCTAAGAGGGAAGGTAGCAGAAATGAGGACGCTGCGTGCACATCAGCACTCCGACATCATATTCATCACCGAATCCTGGCTCTCGCCAGACATCTCCGACGAAGAGATGCATGTTACTGGCATGGAACTCTTCCGCAGGGACAGGGAACATAGAGCAGGAGGGGAGTGGCTATCTACGTAAACTCTGTTTAAAGGCAAGGATGGTTAGCGATACGGCCTTAACCCAGCTCCCAGAGTCCCTATGGTGCTACTTCACTCTCCACAGTACCAAATACCTGCTCGGAGTCATATATCGGTCCCCCACCAGCTCCCCTACACATAAGGAAATGATCATCAAGGCTATCTTAACGACTTCCTCTGCAAATTACGATTCCGTAGTCATTGCCGGCGACTTCAACACCCCGTCCATCCTCTTCGAGACGGAAGGGAGACGCATCAGATCCTTCAATCAGAAGCTGAAGGATGCAATTAAGACTGCTGGCCTCTCAGAGAAAGTGGGTGATGCTACACGCTGGGGACCTAACGGAAACGCATCGCGCCTTGACTACGTTCTGACGAACGATGAACTTCTCATTGAGGATGTTTGCATCCAACCTCCCCTTGGCCTCAGTGACCACGCTGTAATCACCTTCTCCATGATAACTAGGGAGGCTCTGCAACTGGAGACGCCCAACACCTTCCCTTGCTACAGCAAGGCCAACTATGAGACCATGAGGGACTACCTCATGAATGCATCATGGCCAGTGGACTGGACTCATCTCACAATAGATGAACACTGGTTGGAGGTGAAGAAAATAATCACTGGGGCCATCAGTCACAGTGTACCAGAAGTAACACACAGACAATCAATGAGAACCTCATGGTTAAAGCGTGGGACAGAGAGGCTTATCCGGAGCAAGAAGCAGGCTTGGTTCAAGTGGCGTACATCACGCAGGGAGTCTGACTTCTTGAACTACAAAAGGATTCGCAATCTCTGTAACATTAGAGTGCGTACGACAGATTTTCCTACCAAACAAACTTGGCAGCGAGGTTACAAAGCAACCCCAAAAACTTGTACCGCTTCATGTCAAGAAGAAAGTCGACCAGTAAGGGAGTGAATCTTGTCACAGGCCATGACGGGAGTGTGCTAAGCAGTCTAGAGATTGCCGAGCTTTTGAGCTCACACTTCCAAGCCCAACTCAGCACTGACACAAGATCCACACCGACTCGCCACGACACCGACCAGGTCGCAAATAACGAATACCTCTGTCACGTCTCTATTACAGAGAAAAAGGTGTTCGAGAAGCTATCTAGGCTACGTCCGGGCAAGTCCCCTGGCTGCGATAACCTGAAACCAGTGGTTCTGAAAAACTGCGCCGAGGTGCTTACCAAACCACTTCGCAACCTCTTTGAGCACTCAATAGACTCGTGCAAACTCCCTAAAGAATGGAAGAGCGCCATCTTGTCACCCATCTTCAAGGGAGGAGACAGAAAAAGCCCTGGCAGCTACAGGCCGATTGCCCTACTCCCTATTGTGTCGAAAGTGTTGGAAAGCCTGGTAGCTGACACCATCTGGGAATTCCTCAATAGGAAAACACTGTCCATACTGCTCAGCACGGCTTTCGTAGTGGTCGCTCATGTGCCACCAACTTACTAACCGCCTGGGACGACTGGACACAAAGCTGGGATAATAGAAAACCTGTACATGTTGTATTTCTCGACCTAGCCAAAGCATTTGACAGTGTCCCACCCACAGTACTGCTTCACAAGATCATGTCAGCTGGTATAAGTGGACCCCTACTCTCTTGGTTCAAGGAGTACCTGGAAGGGAGGCAGTTCTGCACTAAAGTGAACAGAATAAGGTCGGAGTGGAGACCCTGACGTCAGGAGTATCCCAAGGAGCAATCCTAGGACCGCTTCTGTTCCTCCTGTTTGTCAACGATCTGCCAGACAAAATATCCTCACCCATCCTCCTCTTCGCTGACGACATAAAAATTTGGAGGGTGGTAAACGAAGAAGCTGATTGTACAGCACTACAAAAGGACTTGCAGCAACTCGAGCTCTGGTCGTCGGAAAATGGCCTGAGCTTCAACTGGAAAAGTGCAAAGTAATGCACATCAGTAAAAATGAGGCAAGTACGACCGACTTCCAGTACATGTTGAGCAACCGTGCTATCACCAGAGTGTCCATGGAGAAAGATTTGGGGCTCAACTTCTCCGACACCAGCTCCAACTACAAAGGTATGACAACCAGAGCGAACGCCATTCTACACTTTCTGCGTAGACAGCTTGGCGCCCTCACTCCCGAACTCTTCCTCACCATTTTCAAATCCTACGTGCGGCCGCACCTAGAGGTCTTCAATACGGTGGCTCCTCCAACACTCAAGAGAGACTCTAATCTCCTTGAAAGAATACAAAGAACTGCAACAAAATCAGTTGTGGGGCTAAGGGGAAAGACGTATCCTGAAAGACTTAAACACCTCAACCTATTTACCTTGGGTTATCGCAGGAAAAGGGGTGACCTCATTATGGCATACAAGATCGCCCATCAGGCAGACCATGCAAACAAATCAATTTTGCCTGCAACTCAACGATCTTCACGAGGAAACCCCATTAAGATAGCACACCAGAGAGCCAACACCACACTCAGGTCCAAATTTTTCTCCCTAAGAGTATGTGCTTTATGGAATGCCTTACCGCGACACATCGTTATAGCTCCCTCAGTCGACTCATTCAAGAGGCGATTAGACAGTTATGTCACCTCGCATGGACTACCACGGACGTACTCAGGTAGTCAACTTCACTAGCCCCAACTCCCTCCTAACTACCACTCACTATCTCCCTCCCTAATACACCCACATTACCTACTAATTCTTCTGTAGGAACCAAACCCACGCGACCATTCGTGCAATTCCCAATTACTTTTCTTCCGTTCTTATTTCTCCTTTCACCCCTCCTTTTCTTCTCCTTCCCTTTTCTCTTCCCTATATTATAATTTTTTTACCCCTCTTTTTTTCATTCTCTCTTCATTTCATTGCCACTACCCTACTATTCTCTTTCAGGTACCCACACAGACAGGAGTCACGGCAGTTCCCTAAACCGCCTAGCAACCTGTAGATCCCCACTCACTCTACAAATTACAACTTACTAACCCAAAAAACATCCACCTCACCTCACCGAAGCTAAAAGCAAGAAAGCAGAGGGGATTTCCTCGTCCACTGCAAGAGTGAACCGAACAACTGGAACCAAGCCCTAAGAACTAGATGCGAGAGATCAAAAACTACCAGTTTTCTACGCCCCACTATCAATATTGGATATTGGAAGCATGTCAAAAGATATTGGATTGTACCGTGCAAGAGAAAAGGCCAAATAGCTAAGCAGAGTATGGTGTTCAGTATACATGAGTAACCTTAGACAGCTATCATAACGTTTTGTTCATTTGTTGGTATCATCATCGTTTTTATTACTTAACTGTCACTCATATGAAGGACGAAGACACGAAACCTAAGTATGTGGGCTTTTCAAAAACTAGTGTTGTCATCACAGTTTTCATATTTGGAGTTTTTTGATTGGTTACGAGCGTTCGCAACAAACAGTACAAAACACTAGCTCGATTTTAGTGTTGTCAAGATATTTGGGCTAAAAGTAGACATTATACCTGTGTACGTGAAAACAATTGTGTTTTGAAGTTTACCAACGAGGTTCGTATATTGTTGAGTGTGCGTTACATTAATGAATGCATGTCACATGTGTACTTCCGATCGTCTGAGATTAAGTAGACTCATTTTTTTATTGGCATTGAACATTTTCATAGGAAAGTAAGAATGTCGCCAACACCGAAAAGCATTCGTAGTATGTTTCATGATAACGTTATCGTGAAATATGATATGAAACAACTTTAGTTAGTACTTCCATTGACGAGTTTTAATACAGGGTTTGTATGAGACCCATTACTAATTCAAAAGTTCGAAATTTCCGCAATATTAATGGTTTGCACAACAATACAAGGCTTAAAATAGCCTTTAAAAGCACTTTGCTTGTCGAAATGCAGGTAATTATGGGAAGCATATATGCTATATTATTTGAATCCCCTGGAGTAGTAGTTAAAACTACTGGAGCCGTGGTCAGCCAAGTGTGACTTTAGGATTTCCATAGTATTACTTCTGAACGATTGCGTGGTGTGTTATTTTCGATAACAGTTTGTGGATTCAAGCCAGAATAGCTACATGCCTACTGAGTTTCGCTCACATCTCATGCTCACTACACTTGGATTATTTGGTACATAGTCATTTCGGCCTTGATTTGATAACTAAATATTATTTGAGCGTTGTATATATGACTTAATTTTGTGCCATTGGTGTAGAAAGCCTGCCCCGTTTTGAATTCGTGTACACCTCTGGAATGTTTTGTGCTGTTCGTGTGTTAAAACTGTCTAGTTGGAAGCACTGAATAAACGACTGCTTGTGACCAGATAAAAATCCTCGTCAAAAAATTCTAGACGATGAACCAAATCTTTCTAGATTTTATTTAGAAAAGCGCAAATAATGTCTTACAGTGACTCGGGCGCCACTCCGACTGCCAAAGTCCAAGTAGTTTAGTAGTAGCACTACCCTTACTGGGTGTAATATGCCCTAGGACACGAACTTTTAATTATTTATGATTTGGACTGCATTATTGCTACCATTGTTTGCAGTGAAAATGCCATGAATTGTTACGAATTGCACAAGACCTCATATTGTAGCTTTGTTACTACCGATACTGCTAAGCTTGCTGTATACGGTGAAAGGAATTTTAATGGATACGTTGCCTTTTGGTGTAGTTCAAAGCCCTGTTTTTCAGAAAATGTGTGCTCATAACTGCTCATTCTATTTCACTGACCTACTCTATGTTCGATTCAGAGGCCCTTCTTGTATGAAGTGCAACATCAAATGAATATCCAGTCGGATCATAAGCTTTTATTACTTATTTCTCTATACGGATCTTTTTATCAACCAGATTTGTTAATAAATGTCTTGTTATATGGTGATTTTTGCAAAACGTGGAATATTTATCATGACAGTATTATATTAGCAGTTTATTAGTGATAGTGGTTTTTGACTATTGAATGTTTGCTCCTGTAGTAGGCAGTTATGTAGTCCTTAATTCATTCACAATTTCTAATTCCCGTAATTTTACGTACTCTTCTTTAAAGGACAACATTTCCTCAATTTTTATTCGGCTTTTCATTCCATTTAATTTACAGGATATCAAATACTCCTAAAATCAAATGTAAATTGGTGTATCATTTCAGTTTTATACACAACAGAAATGCACTCATCCCCGGTCGTGGAGTCCCTCACAACAAACAAATGGTTGGATCTCAACTTTCGGTGGATTCTTATGGAAATAAAAAAACAAGTGAGTTTTTCGCACAGCTTAAAAATATTGGTTGGTGGAACCTAATTACATAGATAACATTATCAGTAGTAATGGGGTCACCTAACTTGCATCACTAAAAATGTATGTTGCATGAGAAAACCTGGTATTAATCAAGTAGGTGAATAGTATAAATAAATAAAATGACCAAGAGAACCTCTATCCTGGTCAACATCACATATTTAAGTAGATGAAGGTCAGACGTTTGAAATACATGTTTTGATCATCGGTATAAATGTGTTAAACTGGTAATCCCCCGGCCTCAAACTATGTATCTGAATTGGTCACTACTCATTAATCATTCGTCAAACAAATGACAGGAGTGGTGGTCGAATAATCAGATTGGTTTCGCATAATTCACTTTTGACGTCTATACTTTTCATCTGTCTGACAGGTCACTGCTAATTGGTGTACTAAGCTATCAGAAAGTCTGCACACATCTAAGTTGTTCTTAGAGCTATTGAGGTTGGCAAATGCCAACTAATCCTTCCACAAATATGCTGGTGGTGAAGGATACCATCCAGAAATTCAATACTATGTCTATGTTTTAGCATTTCTGTCGATATTTTCTTTTACTGTTTTAAGCTGCAGTAACTAAGAAGAATATGCCTTTCTGGGAGGTTACATTTCGTTCTATATCTGTATTAATAGACATTAAACTGAATTTAACCGTTAGACATTGTATGTGTCCAGTTGCACTGCATCCACTGTTCTGCTGGTTGTTAGTTTTAAACCAGTTTAACATCCTGTATTTACATAATTTAGGATCTAATGGAAAATGTAGATTTCATCAGCATTTTCTCAGCTGTTAAGTGCTGCTTATTCATTTTGAGTCAACTACTGGTCTGTTTCTATTGCGTATTATACAGTTATGAACCCTAAGATTTTAGAAACATTTGGTCAGGTGAATTCTGTGATTAATGTGGGTAGTATATCTTTCCTTATAAATTGAAACTTTGATTAAAAAAATTATCACCAAACTCACTGTCCTAAAATAAAAACACCAATAAGCGTAATTTGTTTTACTGAACCGTTATTTTAAATGGTACCTCAAAGTAAACCACTAGACTTATAAACTGTCACACATCGGATTTTTTCTGAACTCTCATGAAGTCCAACAACTAATGTCGATTCCCCTTTCAATTTGTCACCTAGTCATGAATGACTGGGGGCACTAGGGGTCAAATCAACTGCATCCAAAAGTGTTCTGCCGGACACTAGCTTCCAGTTCTGAAAATGAACATCTCAACGGTTCCTGTAAATGTGAGCCCCAGTAACCAGCGCTTTCCTTGAATTAATAATGGTGAATAAACTGTTATTGTTTGTCAGTATAAGTGTAAAACATGGGCACCGTGGTAAAATGTAGTTCTATATTAGATTTGTTTATTTGCTACATCATACAGTGATAAAGTATTATTTACTTGATGACGTTATGGGCATAAATTGTTGCTCTTAATCAAATCGCTGTAATCACACTACTTTTGACATCTGATTTTTATAGTCCCGTCACCTCATATTCTTTGTTTTCGTTGTGATTTTTCCATCCATCCATCCAAATCAACCTAGGACCAGGCATTACTTCGTAACGGTCCGAGTTGCCACACCTCATATCAGTACATCAGGTAAAAAGGCAGTGAAGTGGAAGGTGGAGATAAGAGAATTCAGTCAAAAGAAATATAAAGTACGAGAAGAAAGAAAGGAAGAGTGACAAAATGGTGAGAATCGGTATGGTGTTAATGTGAGGATAATGTGTGTATACATCTGCGCCACTGGCATCAGTTCTCAACCATATGATCTTGAGTCTCCAGCCACTGGTTCCTCTTGTGTCGCAGACCCCAACCGACTAGTCTGCATCGCCCTACGTGGCTCAAACCAACAATCAAAGACTTCATACATTGATGCCGTGTTTTAGTCTGGCCACCTCAGGCCTTTTTTCAGTCTGGACCTACTTCGGCCAACATTGTGTGACGAGGCAGATGGTGACTAGGCATGAGTGATACATGTCCCAACCAGCCATCTCAGTCGATGAAGGTTCATAACCTCGTCAACTGACTTACCTCTTCTCCCTAAAACTCTACACCTGACTTGTGGGCTACTCACGTGGTGACACCACAGAATACGGCCCATACTACGAAGGTAATGGTGGTCAAACATTTCCCCGGATTTCTCATCGTAGGCTTTTACACGCCCACAGGTGGTCAAGCAGATAGCCTTCAATAAAGTGACTTACTCGGCACGCCTTTCAATGAGAGACATTGCCATAAGACTTCTCGATCGACGAAGTCAAATGCAACCTTCAGGTCGAGAAATGCAGCTATTGTCGGGCGTCGGTAAGCGTGCCTGTGTTCCAGAGCCTGGGGCAGTCTAAATATTTGGTCGATACACCCGTGAAAGGGCCTAAAGCCTTCCTGATTTTCTCGGGCTTGCTGTTCTCGAGTTCCACTCAGACGTCAAAGAATTGTAGAACCTAGAATTTTAGATGCTATGCTCGTCAGGCTGATTCCTCTGTGGTTATCACAAGAGGACTTCTCGCCTTTCTTGAAGACTGGGATAATCAGTGATTTAGACCAGTCAGAGGGGATCGTATTTGATCCACATATACTGGTTAACACTTCTGTTGACCTGGCTAGGAGCACTCTACCACTATCCTTGTATATCTCAGGAGTTAGTCCGTCTTGTCCTTCTGCCCTTCTTTGTTTTGAGTTACCTACAGCTTTCTCGACTTCCGCAAGTGTTGGGGAGCCTATCTCAATGTTACATTTAGGATCCGACTGGATAGCGGGCAACGCAGTGATGGCTGGAGGCCAGTTAAACTGTTTCTCGAAGTGTTCTGCCCATCGTTTCAGTCGTCTCTTCTGCGAGTGAATCGCAGACCTGTACTTCGCCTCTATAGTCTCACTAACCGTTGTTGACCTTCCCCCAGTTTCCTTAATAAGTCTAACTGTCTACCGTTACCAATCGCCTCTGTCTTTCCCAACTCTTTAGCCGTCGCTGTCCACCACTGTTCGTGATCGTTGTGTAGACTTTTTCTGAATCTACTTTTAAGTTGCGCTCGCTCTTCATTGTACTTGGAGCCTGCAGGCATGCGTTCACGTGCATTCATTTGTTCTGAAGAAGCTGCTGATATCCACTGGCTCTTCTTAGCCACTTTCGGAGTCGGCTACGGTCTACAGCGCTGCTTTTACAGCAGATTGGAGATAGCACTAAGCTTCTGAATGAGTGGCAGTGTTCTGTTCCAATAACTGCCTAACCAAATTCTCTCTGTAAGCGGCTTTGGTGTTTTTGTTGTCCAGCATCACTCGTAGTGGTTTTATTGCCAAGTGTTTCCTACGACCATTGAGACGCAAGCATATACGCGCTCGGACCAACGCGTGGTAGCTATACAAACACGTACTCCAGAAGGAGCGGCGGTCTTCCGCCGATCCTCTCCAGCGATGTTGTCTATCTGTGTCCATCGCTGAGTTGAGTTCGGTGGATGCCACGTCAGACAATCTCTTTCTTTATGTCTGAAATTTGTGCTAGCTAAAAATAAACGGTTATCCAAGCATAGTTGTAGTAGGCGATCACCGTTATCTGTTCGTTCGGCCGGGACTCCGAAAGTACCACCTAAGTGCCTTTCTGCCTCATTCAGTTTACGCACCTGTGCATTGAAATCACCTGTGACAACCACCACGTCTGAACGTTTGGTTTTCGAAAGGAGGGTAGACAGTTTACGGTAGATCTCGTCCTTCACTTCACCCGAACTTCAGTCAGTGGGTGCGTAAGCAGATTACAAAGAGACAACGGCGAGTTTCACCATTCCTTTCAGTTCTCACTGTGACATTCAGCCGGGCAGCGGAGAGACGACTATCAACCGGGATCCAGTCTAGTAGTGAGCTTTTCGCCCTAGTGCTTAATGCTATGTCTATATCTACAAGATGGCGAGAGCTTACTAGCCATCGAATCTTCAGAAACTCGAAGGGTGAATTCTGCGGATTCACTAGATTGGCCGGGAGAGGTCAGGTGAATAACTGCACTTGAGTCCTGTATGCAAGTCTCACAAACACAGCACACATCCGTGGCCCGAGTTGCTAGAGTTTTGGCCAGTGAAGCCTGTTGACCAATTTGACAGAAGGTACGGACATTGAAGGCCCCGACGTATAATTTGGAGCGTAATTTAAAGAGACTAGGGATGCTGTTGAGTGGATTCAGATCGCTGTCAAAGGCTGCAGAGCTAGGAGAAATTGAAGATGATGTAGTATCGTTAGTTGAATGACGTGGAGTAAGACTAGAAGGTAATGATGAGGGAGGTTGATAGCTGTCTGAGGAAACTTGAGTGCTGGACGGGTTGTGAGGGCGGTTGACACTTCCCGGCTGCCCATACCGTGGAAGAGTATTTCTTCTTAAGGTGCCTGAAAAAGATTTGTGTGACTGCACAGCCCATCAGACATCCGCTTGAGGCCTGTCACACGCGACCTTTTGTGCATGGTTATTTTGAACTTTTGTATTTTTGGGGCCGAACGGTCGAAAAGATACGACAAATGCACCAACACCGCCGACCCTGCAAACCATGGGGTCTGGCGGAGTGTTGTTTTTGGGGCCGACCTTTTCTAACCCCCCCCCTGTTCTGTGAGAAGGCAGCATCAGTATGGCACTGTAGGTCATCCAAGGGAAACATCTTACTGCTGTCACACCCCCTCCAGCTAACAGCAGTACGACTTCGCCCTCAGACCCACATCATAGTGCAGTAATTTACACCACAACGGTAACTGCTTTTTGTCTAACCACTATCCAACAGACTTTTCTTGTTTGGTAGGATCTTGAGGGAACAAGTGTTCCACCCTCATAGCTCGTTGGGTCATTGTGATATGCAAGCCCGACCACCACGTCAAGGTAGCAGCTATCGTTCGGGGTTATGATTCGTATCTCATGTTTGAGCCAATAACTAAAAAATGAGCTTAAAACTATCTGGTGTCTATTACGTTTTATGCGTTTCACTGTCTGAATAAAATTCTAGCCTACCTATGGTTCCCCAGACTTACCAGTCATTGGCTGGAGTTCACACAAAACAAGAAACTTGCAACCCGTGTACCAGCAGTTTGTTTAGATTTATAGCTAATGTGTCTATGTAGCTGAACAACATCTTCACTACACAAGAACAAAGTGTCCATTCGCGTTACAAGATGGAGTAAATGGTTTACAGTTAGTTGACTATTTCTCTTTTCGACTAAGTAAATATAAATCAACCGGATACATATATTTATGCACTAATCTACCATCCTTGCTTATTGGTGAGGGCTTTTGTACCGCCTGATTGTTCAGACTGGATTGTACATTCAGCAGTGGTTAGTGCATAAAAAGGCTTATAAAAATGTCCACACAGTAACGCTGTTAAATAACTTCTGAGTAAACTACCTTTTAGAATGAATATTATAGTTGATTAAAATATAAGTGACTATATTTCACATCATCTTTCCGCTACTTTGTTGTAACTTTCTGAGCCAAGCTGCTCAATGTGGACAAAAGAAATAGAACAGAACCTCTTACAGCAATGCATACTCTTAACTTATTACGTCCCTTGACAGTACAGAGAGAAATCAACAACAAAACAGGGGAGTATTAGGGTGAGCATGGAAAATAACATTGGTTAGTGGGAATTGATGCGTGTATAGAAAAGTATTCAGAAATTAGAGGAAAACAAAGGTAAAGGTATACACTCCATTATTTAGGTTCTCTGACTAGTGATTCATGTTCTTGTTGATCCCAACCGAAGAAGCTCTTCTGCTCTACACTGCTTGAACCAACAGTCAGTGACTTCAAGGACTGTTAACGTATCTTGATCTATAGGTCTTCAGCTTTTATCCAACTTCTACCCTAGCTAGTGTAATAAATTACAGCAAACTGTAATACATACACAAATCGATTGTGATCCAAAACCTGACGGACCGACTTATATTCATATATGGCGCATTTTACATTACAACACACGTTTCATTGCATTTGTACTTTGAATAAATAATGATGAAAAAACTTATTTGTACTGGGTAGTGATTGAAGGTGAGATGAAAATCTGGACCGCGGTAGGAATCTAACCAGCGACCACCGGGTTACCAGCCCAGTGCTCTACCAACTGAGCTACAAGGTCCGACTGTTGACCAGAATTTTGTTTCACTTCAATCACCAAGGGTTTTTCCCGACTACCATACGGATTCGTGACGCGTCACTACCGCTCAACTTCAGTAACCATTTGTCACCTGTAGAGAACTACACGTCGGATCATTATGGTGTTTACTTGTCAGTTGGCAGTTATTCGAATATCTTACTAACACCACAATTCAAATTCCAAATCACAACCTTAAATATCAACTTAGTATAAAACCTATGTCAGTGAGTTCACGTAACCCACTTGCGACAAATCTCAACCGAATTTTTCAGGGAATAACATTAGTCTTGCAAGAAAAATGAAAAAACTAAAGTACTGTGGAGTTATATCGTATTTTGCTGCAGTATTCTCTCTAATCACTTCTTTGATGGAATGAGATACTTTGTAGACACTGAACACTTGATATTATATAAGTACACAGAGAAAATCGTAATATCTATTCATTACAGACTGAAATACTCTAGGAAACTATTGAAACCCAATGAAAAACGGATGACTATTTTCCTTCCAAAACAACAGTTTTTTCATGATGACGTCCTCCCTGACCTTTAAATTGATCTCCTGTTTATAGTTATTTCATGATTAAAAGAACTACCTTTACTTACCAATCAAATTCCGCACAAGTGACTTAAACGAACAGTTGAAATCTTTTTAGTATTCACGTGAGTGTTGTATTAAATCTATCTTAGATTTAAACTAGTTCATCTGTCGAGAACCAGCATCTGTAACTAATAAACATACAAGGAGTGGCTATCATGACTCATTAGCCTGATGGATAATGCTCTAGTGTTTGCATCGATGGGTTCCAAGTTCGAGGACCAGTGGGGACAACGTTCATTGGAGGGCAGGTCCACCCATCTGACAAGTCCCAAATGAAACGTAACAAACACCCTAGGTTCCACTACCGGCCACTATCCATCATTACTAATCAACAGGCAGCTTTCAATGGCCCTCTCATTTTTTGTCCTCTGTTTATTGAGACAGTGAATAACTATTAGTTCTCTTCCTAGTGTAGATATATCCAACGTCTTGTAACTACTAGTTGTGAACAGTATGATAAATGATCTCCAGTGATTCTGTTGGGGTTAACTAGAAAGGTGTCACTGATTTCAAGTACTTCTTAATCCATCTTTCATGGTGTACGCTTGTATTTTTTCTTTTAGCATCTACACACCCTAACAATAGTTATAAGAGCTCATATGAACGGTCTAATCATTCGACAGTAAGTCAGTCAATTCCATCATATTCAGATGCTAATTCTATATCTAATCAACAGCAGCAATCACAATATCGTTATTCTGACTCCTACAATTTACACTGTCAGACAGATTCTAATCCACGTTCACTCACTAATTATCCTGATGGCGTTAATTCTACTTCTTCAGTGTATACAAGTCCGGAATATAATCCAAATAATTCAGATTTATGCACACAAACTAATCAATTACAATCATACCTACATCGAGTATCATGTGGCTTATCCCAGTGTCCTCAATGTTATCCATATCATCATTTTATTGCTCAATCTTATAATCTTCCTAACAATGGTACAACTTTACAACCATCTTTAGTATTATCTCCAACTGTATTGAACAATTATTCAACTTCTGCTATATGCTGTCCATCAGCTACTCAAATACCCTATTATTTTTGGTATAACCATGATCCTGAATACCAAAAACAATATTATCAAACACAATTAGGTATTTCTAAGTTGAATGTAGACCAAACATGTCCAAATCCATGTATAATGATACCACCAGAATCAGATCTAATACAAACAGTAGCAGCAACAAATCAAACACGTCAAAATGAATCAAGTTACTGTATGGATCCGAGTATTTTAGCTTCGGTAAGTATCAAGTTCATAGAATATTGTCCTTTTTTTCTCTGTTATGCAATATTTTACTAGTTTGTTACATCAATGTCTATTCTGTTGATTTATTTATGGTTTGTGTATCTAGTGGCAACTTTGGAAAAATTTCTCAAAATCCTAGTATTTGTTTTGTTTTATAAACAGGAAATGAAAAAAAGTTTCTAACACTGTAACTTATTTGTGTAGATTATATTTGCCTCCTAGCTTGGTGACCATATTACAAAATGATCAATAGAATTCGTCAGTCCTCAGGGATAGACAAAATGCGACTGGTTGCTCTCCAGTGACTAATCAATGTATGTAATCCAGTCCTGCAGGAGGTCAGTCGCTGCCCGAATAGCTCAGTGGCAAAGTTGCTGATGACAACACTGGGTGAAACAGGTTCGAATCTAAGGTGGGACATGAGTTCCGTTGAGGTTGCGGTTACGTCTTGCTGACAAGTGCCAAAAAGCACAAAACCTGGGTTTAGGGCCTCTTTCCGTTTAAAGAAACCAGCTTATAATGATTCAAACTTGCAAGCTGATTGGACCTAACTGCTTTATCAGATAACACCGTTCGTGTTGTCCGCTCCTGTTAAAGAGACCAATTTTTCTATTGATGTTTTGCGTTCATTATGCGCATCAAGTAATTTGATAGGTCGTTAAATGTTCAACGTAGTAGTTTGTGACTGATAAAATCTTCATACAGATACAAAAACTTGATTGGGATTTGCCAACTTACATAATTTATGGCACAGTTGTGATATCTGATTGGCCGTTTAAGATCGAGTATTCTGACAGATAGTGTCAACAAGAGACTTGGAACCACCGCTTAACGGTCTAAGTTGCCACACCTCAGATCAGCACATCTAGTGAGAATGAATCAAGATGCAGGAGACAGAAATAAGGAACAACTGGTAGAAAATTGTGGTAAGAGAGCATGGAGGAATGAGACAATACTGAATTTCAGTAGGGTGGTTAAGATGATATGTGGATATTTGTGGATACATTTGCTCCAGTGAGATCAGTTCGGAGTCATATCAGCTAGAGTTTCCATTCGATAGTTTGTATTGTCACGTGGACACCGACCGCGTAGTCTCCTTTTCCCTACACGACTCAGACCACAAATCAAAGATTTCATGAACTAATGCATGTTTTAGTCTGGTCACCTCTAACCTTTTCGCAACCTGAACTTAGTTCATCCAACATTGTACGACGAGATATGTGGTGACCAGTCATACGTTAATACATGTCCCAGACATCTCAGTCTATGGAGGTTCGCAAACTCATCAACTGACTTTCTTCCTCTCTATAAAACTCTACTACCAACTTCTACGTTATTAGTGTGGTGGAACTATGACATGGCCTATGCTAGGAAGGCAAAGGTAATCGAATACCTGAAACCTTCTCATGTTCTATACCTTCAATAACCATGCTTCACCACCATGTAGCAGAACAGAACGAACAGCAGTGCAGTGCATTCATCTCTGAATATCCAACTGGATATCACGGTGGTATCATAAATGTCGTTGAGTCTTTTGTATCCATAGAGAGATTTCGGCGGTTGCTTTTTCACCAGAGCTAATCTGACTTCCTAGGTAAGAGAAGTGGTCAGCGTGCTCAACCATGTCACTCTCCATTGTTGAACAACGCACCACTGATTGTACCATGAAAAAATTAGCTCTTTTCTACTGTATGATTGTGAAACACGGTCATTAAAAGCTGAGGAAATGAGAAGGCTTCAGGTGTTCGAGCACCATTACATTTAAAGCGTAAACTGTGTCGTGCAACTACCACATCAGCAATACGGAAGTCAGGCGCAGAATTCTAGGTGAAATGAGTAATTCAGTCAGTGTGGTTGTAAATCTATATTGACTCATAACTGTAGCATGGGTTTTGCATGTCCAATCACCATCTAGCCTGTTACACAAATCTCGTCGAAGTAGAATTAGCATGGGGAACTGTTGGAAGTGGCTGAATTCAAACACGGCATCACTGTATGAAGTCTGTGACTGTTAATGTGGAGATGCAGACTTCCCAATTGGGTTGTACTTGATAACCGAAATCGAGATTGAGTGATATGGCTGAGAATTGATCTCAGTTAAGCAAATGCATATTCACTTTGATCGTTATATTGACTTTTATTACCTTATTATTTGTTACCTTCCTTTTACTGGTTCCTTCTAGTGTTTTGGTTACCTTCTCCCTGATTTCTCTTTCACTAATATGTCTTCTACCTCAGTATGTTGCTGCTAGATGTGGCTACTTGAGGCCTTACACAGTAATGCAATATCTCATGTTGATACTGACTAACTCACTAGATAGTTTCTGAGAATCTTATGAAAACTGTTTTCACTGGTCAAGTAAATTAATCGCAGTGATTATCCCTAGTTATTGATTGAGATGGAAATCTTTATATCCTTGGTCATTGTAAAGTCAATTTCTATAAACTCCAAGTAAATTTGAGTCGTGTTCTGATATATAAACTAAATACGTCTCCCTGAAATATAACCTTTAAGTGTAGATAATATCAGTACATTGATGGGGTTTATGTTTGTAGTGAAGTCATATTCTAATAAGTTGGAAAATCCTGTCGTCCTCCTTATGTTTGCATTATTCATTAATTCTGAATATTCAAGTTAATTTTTACACCTTGACTGTCATCCTCTTGGTCAAAAAGACAAGGATAGGACCTTGGGTAACTGCGCTGTTATCCAGGTCTCCGTAAATCAAGTCATTAAACTAAGATGAAAGTTAAAAATAGGGCAGATGAATAAATGAAAATATGAGCAATCATGAAAGACTGCAAGGATGTTGAGAAGAGAAAGGAAATAAAAATGTAAGGTTTGAATTCACGTGAACGAATGCAAACTGTTCAGTATCATAGCTTGTAGTATCTTCAAGCATGATTTGGTTGTCTCATAGATCTCATCTAGTAAATCTACATTTCTTTACGTGATAGGTGTTGTGTTCAAGTCTGGATATAAAAAACATCATCACACACTGGGATATAGGTATGTCGAGCCCATGTCTCTTAAAATGAATGAGAGTTGTACACTACATTCTACTCCTTGCCATCACACGACAAACAAACAGACAGAATCAACGTAGAAACTAGCACACAAATGCACCGGTTCAAGTTGCCATATTTCATAATAATACACAAAGAACAGGTGCACAATAGAAAAAGAGAAATATCGAAGTAGACAAAGTTGTGTAACACAATAAACAATTTGAAGTTAGTGGTTAGTGAAAATATTCAAGCTTTAGAAGGTGTCAATAAGTGAATACATCTGAACCATTGTTATCCATTTTCAACCATTTCACCAAGAGTTCTCAACCACTGTTTCCTATCATCTCGGTGACATCAGCCAGGTAGTCGACATCTTCCCACACGACTCAGACCAACAGTCAAGGATTTCATCGACTAGTTCCTCGTTTTCGTCTGCCTACCCTGAACCCTTCTCTACCTTAATCTAACCTCTCCTAGTATGACACGTCAAGGTGGGCGGTTGCCTGGCATGTGCAATGCATGTTGAAGTCATCCCAGTCGACTAAAGTTCACAACTTCATCAATCGAGTTGCATGTCTTGTCTAGTACCCTTAGTCTAACCCTAACAATGTGAACAATAGTGGAATTATATCTATCAGCAAATACCTGTGACCGCTTCGTGTCTTCTACTTTCAGCTGCAGTGTCTCACAGCCGTATAACAGAAGAGAACGCACTGCACCGCAGTATACTCGTTCTTTGATAGGTAGTCAGATATCTCGCCAGCAGGCGCAACAGATGACGTAAGTTTGAAAATGTAGCGCGAGCCTTGTGTATCCGACCTAAGATTTCTTCATCCCGTTCTTCGGGATGATTCAACTCCCCAAGTAAGTGGCGTGGTCGACACATTCCACCACTTCACTTCTTATCATCATATGAGTAAAATGAAAATCATGTTCATATCAAGGTAATTGCGAAATGATTTATTTTTTTACTAACAAAGATTAGTCAATTCGGTACCATAAAGTAAACGAGTAAAATTCACAAACAAGAGAGTATATATTTGACAGTAGGCCCTCACGTGCTCACAAAACGTTGAAATCTTGCTGCTTATAGTGTTTGCAGACAAATATTGTACCGGAAATTGGTAATTAGTCTATGATAAAGTCTATGACTAAATAGGTGTTTGCTATCGAAGTTTTCACAATTTGAGGACTGTTTAGGAAGATTTGGTTAGTTAGTGCAATTGATTACACTTAGATCAACTGAATGAATCAAGTTTTGTAAGTAGCTAAATTTTAAAATGTAGATCATATTTGTGTGTGTGAATTTTGTTGTTGTTTTCATTCATCTATGGTGTAAAAACATCTCACTCTGTAGTGTGTTGTTATGTTGTAAATGTTGAATATGGCCCTTGTATCTTGATTGATTAGAATGCATATTCTCATATTTTAACTCTTTCCTAATGTAAATCATCAGTTCTACACAATTTCATGTACAATTTCATGCACTTAACCTGCTTTTGTGAAGTCTAGTACTGGTACTGTAATGTTTCAAACACAGAGGTATATAAGTACTGTGTGTGTGTATGTTTGGAAGACCATATCAAGGTTATTACTGACAATATCATTATTACTTCAGAATAATCATGAAATGTTACATTGAATTTTTGCTTATTTATTGAATTTCCAAGGGATCTTTGGTGGAGAATGTTAATACAGTAGTTCATCCGTCTAGTTTAATAATGCCTATGGCACGATCGGTTGCTGTTACATGTACAGTGAATAGTAGTAATTTGTTGTCTTCCAAAACAAATGATACATCAGTAGTCAATCAAACAGATTATTCCAATGCATCAATAAGTCAATTGAATGGATATACAGCAGTTCCTATAGACAGTGTATATGATCCAGCTACTAGTGCTTGGTATCCCGGTTATTGGAATTCTAGTAATCTATGGTTGTCATCTACACCACAAGGCAGTTATCTACCATCGTATAACAGATCAACCCTACCCATTTCATCATTTTCGCCTAATTCACAAGCATTCAATCCAGATGACTATACAACTATTCATCAACAGTACATTAATTCAATGAGTGGAGATTTCAGTGGTGTTGTGAATGCACTGAATCATCCTACAACAGATTTATTGACAAATTATAATTTCAGGAATGGAATAAGCTTAAATCAGCCATCACAATCATCACAGCAAATGATGATGCTTCATAGTAACACATCGTCTATGCCATCATCGATATCGTCAACAACAACATCATCGTTGGCAGCAGGAACATCAGTATCATCAACGCCTACACATAAAATTTCATTATCATCGAATCAGAAAGAATATTATTCTTCACCATATTATGCTAATCCAAAGTCGAATGATAGTTTTACTGGCCTACAAAGTACTCAATACTGTTCCTATCCTTTACCTTATTACAATACTAATGGTACTGTGACCAATATGCTAACTAACAATAGTTCCACTGTCTCTAACATTGCTCATAATAGCAATATTAGTGGTAACAACAGCAATAGTAGCAACAATAACAACAGTGCCAACAATATGCGTTTAATTTTAACTCTATTGGCTAATTCACGAGCCAATGCAACAGCTATCACTACACCAAATTTTGTTCCTACTCCATATCGATACAGTCCAGATCGTAATAGTTTGTTGTACAATCGCCAAAAGATTTCTGTCAATAATAATTCTTCCAATACAAACACAACTCGATGTATATCTAAAACATTTCCTGACAGTGAATTGGCACGTTTAAATTTAAAGTAAGTTGTATGGCGTTATTTGTTTTGTTGTCTGTTTGTTACATGCCTATTTGATCTGTTTACATTGCCTAATTTATATGTTATTTTTTGGGAGTGTATTTGCTGCCAACTTGGTTTGTTTTTATGCTGGCCAACTTTATTTCATAACTGTAAAACCTGATGAGAATATATGGAGAAGAATATTGCAGGAGCACAACTTGGTCACTGTGGTAATTCTATTTTAGTCTGTTTATTGTATGTATCATGCACACTGAAGCCGTTTTATCTACTAGGTAGCGTTTCGGATTTAATTTATTGTCTATTTATTGCCTACACTCGATAATGAAGATCACATGGCCAGAAAGAATAAGCAACAAGGAACTCTGAGCTGGCAACGAACCAACCAAGATTTCATCGCCAAATAAATATGCAGAAGAAAGTGGAGATGGACTAGGTTAGACAAACACTGAAAAGACTATTTGGGGACATCACGCGTCAGGCCAGGCCGTTGAGTGGAACCCAAAGGGGAAACGACGATTTGGGCGTCTGAGGTTGACATGGAGGAGATGGTGTGAGGAAGAAATGAAAGCTTGTAGACAGTCGTGGAGCTAGGCTCAAAAGATTACAGAGAAAAGAGTGAGGGGACATGGTTTACACATTTCTAATTTTCTCGCCTGCTTTGTAGTAAGGATAACAAAAATTTCTATAAATTTGGAACAAATGCAGAATCATTCCCATTGCATGTATTTGGTGTTGATTTCATAAACAAAGTTTCAGTTATCAATCTCTTCTTCTTACCCTATTGTATATTTGTGCCCCATGACGTGCATAGGAATAGCCGAGCCTTTCTTCAGATTCCTTATCCTTATACTATCTAACAACCTTGATTTGACGACATTTTTGTACTCGGACAGCCTAATTAACCTTGGTCCAACTACTTTGACTCATGTATTTGACCCTTCAATCATTGCTAGGGATTTGCAAATCATTTTTTTTTGCCTAATTAGACCTAGCAGATGCTTTGGCCTACAAAGCTTATATCTACGTTACTTATTTACAATTCTAATCCCAGACTTATTGAGAGTTCTGATGTGACTTCCTTGTATGCTAACGCACCGAAAGTTTTGAATTTTCTCTCCATCCGGTTACCATAATAATAATAATAATAATAATAATAATAATAATAATAATAATAATAATAATAATAATAATAATAATAGTTATTCTTTTATTATTTTTGACCCATGTGCTGTCGTCATTGCTCATATTTTCTTTGTAATCTCTTATGAAATTACTGGTAAATTTATTTTGGTAATTACAGAAATAAAGTGTCTCTGATCGCCAGTCTCAGTTTCGCTCTCCTACTAGTAAACGTTTTTCCCCTTTCACTTAAACAATAAAGTAAGCCCACTTTAACTTGTAGGGTGAGATGATTTAAAGTCTAGATAGCGATTTGAATGAAGAAGGTTTCACTGTAGACATTGATATCACCTACATATCGTCATCCATTCCTAACTATCCATAAATTTGTCTGCAACGATAAATGGGGAGATTGGTAATCCCATGGCAACCCCTCTAGTTTGTTTTATTTATTTTATTTTAAAACTTAGAAACTGTAGACGTCAGTATGATTTCTTAGATTGGTACCTTAGTTCGATCGTACTAATGAACAGTCTAAAATGGAAGAAAACGATATTATTCGTTTACGTTGTGTTTTGAATAAGTAAATGTTTTTAATGATTTGCTTTGCCATAAATCTATCTGCATAGAAATGCTTCGGCTGTATTTATCATTGACTTTCACCATATGAGCAAATAAATTACCTTTTGGAGTGTTTGTTCGCATCTGGCTACTGAAGCCTGATAAGCATCATTGGTTTAAAGCAGATAACAGGATGCTCTGAATCTATATTCTGTTCTTGTTCAGACTGTATAACTCATTGGTGTTAATGTCTCTATCTAAGGTACCGAGTAATTGACGTGGGTATGAATCTTTGAGGCAGTACTAGTTGTCATGATATTAGAGATGTGCCCTAGTGACGAGTGTTAGCAAGCACGAAACCTCGGCCAATAGGTTTCCGATTAGCCTCCATAGCTTATAAAAATTAGAAAATGATGACGTAACCCAACTTGGTACATGTTTCAAATGTCAGGCTATGAGCCATTTGTTGTGTAAGGGCTTATAAAATCACCGAGGCTGAAGTAAATGAAGTGGGGTTCGAACCTGAGACCTCTTGCTTCAAAACCAAGTGGTTAGGCTAATGAGTCACCACTGCACACCTAACCACTTAATATCGAATAAAGCATACCTTGACGACGATTCTACTTACTTGATGATCGCATTTGAAACTTAATTGATGAAATTCAGTTGGCACTTGAAACCAGACAAAATAAGAGTGTTTGCTGCCAATTTACTAAATTTCTTCGGTAGTGGACATATAGATTGACACAGTACAGGTGTTTATTTCTTCAACTCATTTCTGTGGCTTATCACTGAAGATAATGACTGGCATGTCATTGGCAGTTATGCTCCATAGTTGTACGCCGCTATCTATGCATTCACTTCTCGAAGTGCAAATATTCCAGTCTACACTACGCTGTGGTGGATTTATAGATGATCGGATGAAAACTGAATGCAGTTTCTACCCTCTGCGACACCAGCTAGACGTCCAGTGGTCTATTGATGTCTGAATATACTACACAGCAGTACTCTCTCCCTTCTGCTATTTGACTACGAAAAAAAGTCATTGAAAGTGGAAGGTATGCAAAGTTGACAAGTATTTGATCCAATGCTTTCGAAGCAGTGCATTGATAGAATAGAACCATTGAAGGATTTTAAACAAAACTTTATACGTAAGTAATTAAGGCAAATAGGTTGATGAATTTAAACTGTCATCCTACTAAAGAGGAATAGTTGCGTTGAAATTTCGGATACACCTCCCCAATTATCATCCGAAAGCTTGAAACTCAGGTCCCACTTGATTTGCTGTCGATTGTCTCCAGCCGTCTGGTATCAGTGCCAATTAACACAGTTTAGTGTGGTCCCATTACAAACTCGATCGATATGATTCGATCAACTTTTTTGACTATAGAACATAAAAAGGACACGGCCATCGTTATCAACATAAACACGGGACCAAGCATTACTGCATGCCGGTTCGAGTTGCCACGTCTCATATCAAGCGAGAATGCAGTAAGATGGAAAATAAAGAAGAATCAGCCGAAATTAGTGAGAGAAATGAGGGAGGAATAAAAAAAATTACTGAATTCAGTATAGCGATTAAGATGTGGATAATGTGTGAACACATCTATGCCACTGACATCGATTGTGCCCCATATCACCTAGAGTCTGGTTTCTGTTGTTGCCCACTCCATACACAACTCAGGCTACTACTCAAAGACTTTATGCAATGACACCTTGTCTTACTATAGACCCACCTGAGATTTTGTTAACGATACAGCAGACCGTGACAAGCCATGCGTAACGCATATCGCAGCCACCTCAGTCGATAAAGTTTCATAACCTCATCAACTGACTTTCCTTTACTTCCTAAAGTTTTACACCTGATTTCTGCATTATTGACTTGGTGGCACCACAACACACTCCATGACACTCGCGAAGCACCTTCTGTGCAGCATCCTTACTGCCATTTCGAGTTTATGTGTTCACCTCTTACTCATGCTAGATGTGTTAATTTACGGTTATAAAATACGATTATATCATGCCTTCTTGTTTCGCATTATTTTCTCAAGCCTCATCTTTCATGCATTCCTAATATATTTCATTTGTTTCTATCGCTAATTATTTTTTAGTAAATAGAGAAGTAAAGTATTTATCATTCTTTTTTTGTTTGTTTCTAAGTACACACACACACACACACACACACACACACACACGAATAAACAAAAGCCGGTGGCTTTATGCGAACTTTTGGCTGACAGTGATACAATACTGAGACGAGAATCGATATTTCACCTCTTTTCCTTCGTGATGTAAAAACAAAACTTATACAAAGACGAAGATAAAAAACGAAATGTTTGTATGTGTATGTGTGTGTATGGTATGAATCCTGATGGGTTCCATCTTGTTTAGATTTTTCTCTCTACCTTATTGATTAGTCGAGGTTAAATTTACTGTTATATATATATATATATATATATATATATATATATATATATATATATATATATATATGCATATTCTCGTAATACTCGTTCGTTACTTGTGGTGATTATGAATACTGTTAGGGTTAGACAGAACGAATGTGAAACGTTTAACAGTAGCCTATCACCGTATGCTGCTTCCAAGCCATTTCAGTGAATAAAGAATATTGAGATTTCTCTTATCAGTTTGTTAATAATATTATTCAGTTGAGGAATCCTCTTCAAGAATGTCTTGTATAAACTTTACTTATTACTGGAATCCAATTCATAATTGAATAGCTAAACTATTGCCCGAAGTAGGTAATGCTATGAGGTGATAGCTTAATAAAGCAATAAGGCGTTTCATCATCATCATCATTATCAACATAGGACCAGGCATTACTGCGTAACGGTCCGAGTTGCCACACCTCATATCAGCACATCAAGTAAAAAGGTAGTGAGGTGAAAGATGAAGATAAGTGAATGCAGTCAAAAGAAATATAAAGCATGAGAAGAAAGGAAAGAGGAGTGACAAAATAGTGAGATTCGGTATAGCCTCGTTAAGATGAGGATAATGTGTGTATACATCTGCGCCACTGACTTCGGTTCTGAGCCATATCACCTAGGGTCTCCAACCACTGGTTCCTCTTGTCCCGTGGACCCCAACCACCTAGTCTGCATCGTCCTACATGGCTTAAACCAACAGTCGATAAGGTGTTTATGAGAGTTCGATGAAATAAACCAAGAAAGATAGTTAGAGTAATAATAGCTTGGTAGAATAGGTTAAGAGAATTTACTAAAAGTATACTTTAGTCTATAGGGAACTAAAAACTTTAATTACTTGGGAATAGGATGCTTAGGAATTTGTGAATGCTAAGT